TAATATAACATCATTAACCAGAGTTGGATCTTTGTTTTGACTTTGCTGTGACCACTGGCATCATATAGACAGATGGTGATTTGTATCATGTGACGTAATCGACAATTAGATATATCAAATTTTCAAAAACGAATCTTTGTATTGCTCAAATCAATGCTAAAAGTACCAGGCCGGATAAAAATTGTATATGATTTTTATCATTATTGTATATATACGTATTCTAGATATTCATGCGGTTTGCAGCATTATGCAAACAACACAGAACCTATTAGGGCTTCATGTGTAAAATTTAGGAGAATATTATACTGTTTATTACAATACTAAACAGCAAGCATGCTGGTCAGAGCGACAAGCTAAGCCCGGCGTCAACATATGTAGAATTCTCGGCATAACTGCACAGTGCTGATACCATTGAAACACCTGCAGTCGACAACCCTGCTTATTGTTGATGGCGTAACACTCGTGCGTCTGCTGGAAGGCTGGCTGCGGCCTGCTTCCTTTACCAAACATCAACACATATTAAATATCAGCCACGACCTTTACTGGATCAGGCAGTCGGAATATATGTTCACTATGTTTAATAAACGTGCATGCCATGAGCATAAGTTGGCACACTTGGTTAGCTACTATTATATATATCTAGTGTACATGGGACATTATACTTGCTTAGTATATTTGTGTCGTTTTAGATATTAATCTGAACTTTGGCAACGTATTTCAGACAATTTGTACAAAATTGAATTGTCTAAGTTCAAGTTTTAAATTTATCAATGAATGACTTATGTTCCAAATACTTGAGTTTATTAAGTGTCTCAAGAATCCTTAATAATGTGCACTGATTTTAAGTAATAGTTCTTATGTTAGAAAAGATAGCCATCTTATCACTAGTGTTTACAAATTACACATTCTGGCGTCGACTCTATAACAAGTGTCAGTTATTAATGCCTAATGAGATAAACAAACACAACGGCACTGATCAATTACCTGTTAATACAAAGAGGAAGTGATTTCAACAGTGAATCTAAAATCCTTAATAAAGCCGCTCTCAGCAGCATTTAGTGTGGTTGCCAAATGAGCTCAAGTGTTTCTTCAAATCAAATAGTTTTAATCAGCTGTACCACAGCCCCATTTTCCCCTGCAATTATTCTGGCGGGAAATTTGGGCTCGCAGACGACATTTAGTCGTCTGCTACCACGTGCTGTTTAGTAAGCTAGAAGCAGACGAAGATTACACGTCAAAGCGGAAATCAGCGGAAGTTCTGCTTGCATGTTTTCACACAAATGATCAGCGACCCAGATCAGTTACAGAACACGAGCAGAGAAACTCTCCAGTCTCGTTTTAAAACTTAGCGCTTGACTGAACCTAAAAATGAAGCAGAGAATGACAGTCAGACAGCATAAATTACACCAATTTGAGCCGAACAAAGGCAAAAACTTCAGTGAATCATAATGCAAATAGTCAACCGACAAGTCTGCACTGGGGCTTCAGAAAGTCGGCACATGTCAGAACCTTTCTTATTACAGCTATTTGTATATTTGCGTACACCATGATTTTATGCATGTTTGAATACTGTGTGTTTGTCTATAATTAGTAGAGATTGGCACATAATAGCTAAGAAGGAACTCACGTGTACATTTCTAAAGGATTTGCTTTGTGAAGATTTATTGCAATATAAGGCATGGGGTAAGGACAGCCAGTTGTCTATAAATACCCGATAACTTCGTGGACAAGGCTGAACTAAACCAAACCATGAGCTACCCTTAACAGTACACGATCCACCTACTGAAACAGATTCCTGTGTCAACATGTTTGGAAATACCTTCTCTGGTAATATCATACACTGTTTTAATCTCACAAAATGCCCTTTTCAGCTGCGACTTAAAATATTCTTATCACGTTGTTCTATTGTTTTATCTTTCACAGGTATCGCCACACCTGTCCTGCGATATAAACTATCGGTGTTATCAAAATATATGATTTTTATGGAACACCCTTAGAGCGATACAAATTAACATGAGTGCAGGTATTGATTTCAAATGAAAATAAGCGCGGAGTATCGACTTAGAGGCTCTTGTTGTTTGAACAAATTTTTAGCTCCTGCCAACGTGATATTCAGAAAATTAGGTCCATTAGGCGATAAATATTTATGGAGGATGTGGAGGAATTCACTGTGGCACATCCTTTTGGAATCGGAGATGCTCTGTTGAAGGAACTTGGAAAGTATCTGTTTTTACAACAAACACCTTTCCTTTGACCACTGACAACACTGAATAGTGGATGTCTCTAATTATTCAGGTAAATTTGGTACATAGGAAGGAGTTGTGTGTGTGTGTGTGTGTGTGTGTGTGTGTGTGTGTGTGCTTCAATTTATCACATTTTATCCTTAAGGAATAGATCTTTAAAAATGTCAGCGATTTTGCCCCGAGCTGTCTCACAGTCTACCACGTGCAGGAGATTAACTTGTCGTCTGCTTCTTTCACTCATCAGGACTGCCGACTTGTTTCAGTTACCGCGTTACATTTCACGACAGAGTCTCTGCCACACTACCCAATTGCCCAATATGCACCAGCACAAATTTTGACAAAGGTCTAACAACTTGCATTGTCTTGTCGTCTGCTGAGCTAAATCGTCTGCTTCTACTCTGAAATCCCAAAGATCATGTTCCCCCTTGAACTGAGCGCGTGACCGCTTCTTTGCGCATAGGTGCAAAACATACTATGTCACGAACTACAAAACTTTGTCAACTCTGAATTTTTGACCAGTTAAATGCAAAATACCCTCTATGTCAATGAGCCGGCGTAGGATGTGGCCACAGGGGCAAGGGTAACACGTTCCAACACAATTTTTCTCTCGCAGTTTAACATGGGGAAGTGAACGTTAAAAGCCCCGTGGCACTCTCTATTTGTTCATTTACTTGTTCCCTTCTGTAAATCATTTCGAAATGCATCAGTTTGACTAAGTCTAACAAAGACCGCCGTGTTGTGTTGTCATTGGCTTAACCTCTGAGGCTCGCGTTGTGCCAAATGCGATGAAAATCCACGGCGATGCGTCCCCTAGTCTTTTCCATCTTAGAACGGCTCCGTGAAGGGAGCAGAAGGGATCCCTATAGATTCCTAACCAAATTTTAATTTGAACAAGGAAGCAGAGCGGGTGTTTACTTGTCAAATCTCCCAAACTCCAACTCGCCATTATTGAAAAACCAAACTTCTTCCTGGAAAAAAAGCAAGACAGTTTCACTGTCTGATGAAATTGCAAAGTTTAAAGAATTCCCGTCTTGCAGAATTAGACCACTCTTTCCCAAGGAAACGACAAATTATGGTCAGGATCACCATCAGTCGAAGCACAGTGGATGAAAAACAGGAACCAATTTGGAAGAATATCTGTGATTTTGAATGACAGGGACTCTACACTGTATAATTTCCTCCCAGGATTCAAAGACACACAACGACTAAGTAGGAACTAAGCTCGTCTCGTTTGATAGCATCACATCCATTCAAACCCAGAGATTCCTAGAAAAATTCGCAAACTGTAATTTATGATAACGTTGATGGCTTTTGCTCCTATAGCTTGACATACTCTAAGTTTACAGAACTTAATTCGCGTTGTATCAATTCTCTGTTAATTCATACGAAAACATGTTCTACGTATAAATGGTGAAGAACTATTCCAAATAGTTCATTGTCATGAACTTTCTGTTTGATCTGTTCGACTTGAGCCGTGTTGTCACAGTGTATGATTCACATACAACCTATTCCACCCATATCCTCTCATTCCGGAATTTTAAATTGGCAAAATCAATTCTAAACCGCCTAATGAATGGACTTGTATTGACTCGTCGATCAATAAATCAAATGTTGACTGTTGTACAAAAGCTGAAGGTTTATCGATACAATCTACTGATCATACCCACGTGTTAATTATGGCATTAACCCTACTCCATGACTTTATCGGCCAATAATGTGCAAAATATTCAAAGTCGATAGTTTTTTCGCCCACTGCCCTTAATTACTTAACCTACACAAATAGGTAATACGACACAGACATAGCGATGAAGAAATATTACTTTACTTCTAAACATTCCTTGTCATAGCCAATACCCTTCGTCTCTAAGTTCTTTGATCATGTACAAATAATTGGGCTAGTCGTTGTACTTAATTATTAATGCATTTTCGAGAGCGACAGTTCTCTTTCAATTTGATTCTAATTATTAATTAAAACGCGTCAAGTTTGGTGAAAAATTTAGGCAGTCACTGACGCTAGGAGAAGGTGTATCTTTTGTATTGTGCTATCTGTCGTCGTATCGTTTTCTCATAATAACAATCGCCCAATCGTCAAAACTGATTGTCATTTTAGGGTTTAAGAACTAGGCACACTTTCTGGGATTTAGTGTTCATTGTTTATTTATCATATGAACAATAATTATAGAGGATGAGATTGAGTGTAGCGACTGGTATAACAGTTCTGTGGAAGTGTTAAGACTGTGAAATTTATCAACATCTCGCAGTATGTTGAGGAAATGGGCACTTCAGATTTTATCTACTTAACCATTTTACTCAATAACGATGTCAATACATCTAAAAATAAAAGTTCGAAATGTATATAATGTATAGGAGGTCAGGTGAGATATGTATCCTTATCTATCCATATAAACTATAAAATCAAGATAATTTTAAATTTGTTGGAATAATAAAAAAATAAAATAACTATAATCAGTATTGACATTTTTTGGACATATATCACTGCATGTAGGGATAAGGAATCGGAATATAATTATGTATTATTTTTTTCCAGAAATGACCCATGTGAGCTTAAACAAAATATCACACACGACCACCCTCCAACAAACCAACACTGGACCCAGAATTTGATGAACAATAGAGTGACAGACCTACACTACTTCAGACTTACAACAATTTACTATCTACAAACAAAAGAATAATCAACAATATATTTGACGTTAAAAAACCCAACAAAAATACCAAACAATTAAAAATCCTCACCTGAGCTGAAAAGGACAATCGCTTTTAAACAGCTGTATTCGGCGGAGTCGACATGAAGGGCTTTCAGTTTCTCCACCTGTTCTTGAAATATACGAATATGATCCATGAAAGCCACAACTCGATCGGCAGCCATGGGGCTAGCATGGAGACCAGCGGCTGCTAAAAGCGGGGCCACATGGAGGGGCATGGAGCATTGGGCTGCGTTCAAGACGAAAAGTTCGCTCCATCCCAGTCTCAAGAGTGCCACTTGGTCGGTCACTTGCAGGTCCGGGAAAAAAGGGATATTTCTTGACCACTCGACTGCGCTAAACAGTAGCCTGGCCGCCAATTCGCAAATATTCTCGATTCCCATAATATTGTTTGGCTGCATACATTGTCCATAGCGAGACGTAGGGTAGGGCTCGGCCCTTAGTAGCATAGATATAAAACTGGAAAGATAAGTATGTCCATTCAAGGGATCCCCATTTGGGAACGCCATCTGCCCTGGGAAGGGATGTTGTGTAGGGGGAACGCGACCTCTTTGGACAGCTGTGGAAAAAAACAGGAACACATGTTACATCGAGTGGTGGACGTTTCTTGCAAGGTTTTTCCTACAACGCTTGTAGATCAATTCTCATTTTAAAATTATTTTCCTACATGATATTTAATATCAGGCATTGGTGAAATTTCTTTAGAATTGGGATAGAAGTGCCAAGAAACACAAATCATTCTAGATTTTTTAAAAATTTCGTCTCATTCTTTTCAGATCTGCCTGATCATTTTAAAGATGCACAGGTATACGACTACACTAGCTCTGACTCACAGGATTTCAATTTGGAATAAATTGCTGTCACACTACATAATATCATACATGCATTTTCAACATGTAAACCGTTAGTGAAGGCAATTCCTGTTTTTTAATGTCTTTTAATTACTGTTCACAAATACAGCTATGATATAACGCACATTGTCTTGACATGAGGAGCTGGCAATAACATTCCGGCGAGTAGAGATGTACAGTGCCTTTAACGGTCGCGGGACACATGGACCCTAAAGCAGGTAGACATCCCGTTCCGACTGTTGGAATGTCGTGATCATACAGCATTCCTTTAACTTTTCTAGCCTACGTATCTGTCACTTTTACACTGATAGATTTAACATTAAACGAGACAAATAAGCAATTTTAACAAAAATATATTTTCTTTAACGTTACTAAATTTCCCTTCCTTGTTTTGTAATAATTTTGACATGTCACTGCTGTCATAAAGTATTTTTATCAAATAAAAAACAACCTCATAAAACGCCGACACTTTTGAAAATGTCGGGTTCAGATAGTGTTTGAAACGTCGGGTACAATACCATGAAATGGCGCTAATTGTTATTGTCCTCATGTTAAGCAATGCACTGTGCATCTTTAAAAGACAAGTTGTCTATCATATTACACTGACCTGTATCCCACCTACCTTCCCTCCTCATCCCCATCTTTAGACACTTCTTCAGGCGGCAATATTGGCACTGATTCCGGTGATGCTGGTCGATTGGGCATGTTCTGTTCCCTCGACAGGTGTATGTCAAGTTCCGTCTTACAGATCTCTTGAAGAAACTTTTACATCCCTCGCATGTAAACTGTCCGTAATGCTTCCCGGAGCTTTTATCTCCACAAACCACACATTCGATATGCTGTTTGTTGTTATTGTTAGTTTCCGAGTTGTTGTTTGAAGTGCCATTCTGCTGAGAGGTGGGAGTGCTGTCAGTAGACGCCTGGCTGAGAGGCGTGGTACCAGGGGTAGGGGTGACAGCCGTGGGTGTCGGGCCGGGCTGCCCCGGAGCCGGGTGGGGCGCCGCTGTTGGGGTCGGTGTCGTCGTACACCCAATATCGTCGGTGGGGTCGCGCCAAGGGGTAACAGTACTCGGGTTGACAGTAGGTGGGGACATCGCCATGGTGAGCTGCATGCACAGTATAGTAAGGTAAAGATTCCCACAAGATCAAAGTCTCTACAACGCTGTTAGCCTAGTGTCATGGGCTAGAGTCGAACTGACTTGTCCAACAGAGTCCAAACAACTGGGCGGGCGACAACAGATCCTCTCCTAAGTGCCTTCTTTTCCCTCATGAGCCCTTCGTACTAGCAGAGCGATGCGGCCTTGATGCCTCTCTCGCCCATGAGCACACAGTAAATATAATCGTACTCTCTACTGCAGAGCTATTGAATCAGAGTGGAGCCCTATGCGCGTATGAATCGACTCAACCTATTGGGAGAGTGTACGGCCGTCCCGCTTATGCTCGAGCGGCTTTGAACTCTGACACTTCTGTTGAAACTGCTAAGTTTCTATGGTTACCTCTCCTTATATGGAGAGCGGTGTCATGCGAGTTCAAGAAGTGTATTGGTGAGTGACAATTACTGTCGTATGGTCAGAACCCGCAGCCACACGGGGCATAACCGTAGCGCTCAGGGATGCAATCCTATTGGTCCGCACTATCATTCATTATACTCTCCTCGATTGTCAGGCCTCCCGCACATATCCCTACGCTCCGTGTTCTCTCACCGCTCACGAGGGTCGCGCGCACAAGTGGTCCAATCGGCTTCGCTCATTCAGCGAGGGGAGGAAGGCCAACCTAAAATATTACGGAGGTGACAGGAGAGGGAGGTGAAGTTCCCGTGCTCATCAAAATAATTACTGATTCATATGAAATCTCCTCGGCATGCCGCCGAAGCTTGCGGTCGTCTGCTAGCCTCACAGTCGTCTGCCGACTCTCGAAGCGCGCGCTCCTTGTGCATAGCAGAAGACCTCAACGGGGCAGGGGTGATTCCCGACTAAGAGTAGGGTCGGGAAGCACTCTGAACTCCCTAGTCGCGGACAGCATGACGAATGATAGAACACAGGCACCTAGTGTTGATGAGTTTAGTTCCTTGATACACCCAAGATTTTTATATGTCAAAAACATATCTCCAACTTTAAACAATCTTTCACCACCCCATTCATGTGTAGCTCTAATCTTTAAACTTTCGACAGGAAGCTCTCGTGGCAAATTTCATTGATAACTTAATCTATCGGTTCAGATGTATGAAGCTTCGATTGAGTCCTCAACTTCTTACCAACAGTCTGAGCCGTGACCTAATGCTCGGGTCATGGTATTAGACAAGGATGTCCCCTGACCCCAGCTCCGTAATCTTATCCACATACCTCTCTCGCTGACCTCTATATTTAGTCGAGCGCTGTTATTGTACATTGCGCAAGATCACTGTTGGTTCCAGCTTACGTTGGTGTCTTGTTAACCAAGCGAGCAATACATTACAGCCCCCTTAACAAAAACCGCTGATCAGTCAGTACAAGAGCGATCTTCTGGCAAATTTCAATATGAGGGTGAATAGAACTCACGTGAAATAATTAAACTTTGTGGGCCAGTTGGCACATAGTAAAACAGTGCGAGTTAATATATCTTGACGGTTGTTGGGTTGACCTCGACCAGAGATAATACACAAACGCTTAACTCCGCGTGACCTTAAAACTGTTATCAAACTCCATACAGGCTGAAAAAGCATATATAGTGTTACTGAATGATATGGTATAGAATTTCCCCACATAAATTATCCTATTACTGTGGGATCGATATGCACCATGGATGACGTGTTGTGTAAATATGACTGGTGAACTTGGTCGCTGCATCGACTCCCCCCTATGTCAGTCGATTTATGATGTCTACAGCAGCGCCGAACATGTTTCTCTCCGAATGTATTAGCTTTTATTTCACTGAGTAATTAGTTGAGCTATCAATCATGCAGCGAGAGAGAAATACATCCTAGTCCTCATGGGTATGTTCTGGGTAAACACAATAATAACTGAACACGAACCCTTCTGTCGCCAGGGCCAAACACGACTTGACAATAAATATTTTTTTGGACATCATTTTGTAGAATATTACAGAGTAATATTAAAGATAATAATAGAATAGATCATTTCAGTATAGAATTAATCTTTACTTTTATCATCTCCTCGTGTGGAAGGCTGATGTCGCTGATCTGATCTTAAACAGTTCATGACAATACGTTGTGATAGCATCAAGCAAAGTCAAGCCAACCCCATTCAATCAACACACCAAAGACCTTAATCGTTATGCATTGAAATGTTTCTAAATTCATTGTATTTATTTTCATAATCAATGAGTATATTATTTAACAGATATACCCATTACTTTCGCGAGACCCAGATCGTAATATAACGTAAATGTATTCAGTGACTCTCGATGTGAAAGAGTGCAAAAATCCTCTTTCAGACTGGTAATAGTCAATTCTCTAGACCACTAGTTATATTGATATGCATCATTGTGCGTCCAGGGTAATATACTTTCAGAGTGGGGCATATTTCTGCGGCAGTGTTAACTAAATCGAATGTCCAAGGGCACTATGACATTGGCGCAATATGTCGCAACCAAGTCACACCTGGCGTGGCAAACATATGCAAGGTCAATAATTATTTTCTAATAAATTCTGTACGGAACACAGCTCCTACATAAACAATTTCCAACAAAGAACCCTTTTTGATGAATACGAAAAGTGCTAATTAGGATGGTTGCAATCTATATGCGTTGTGATCCTACGTAACCGTTGAATACTTCGTAGTTCTTTTTAATATTGAAAAAAGCGCATCAAGATTAAGTATATTACATATACATATACACTCTGTATCCTGTTGTAATTTGTTGTTTTAGAGAGAATGGTTACACGCTGCACAGAATCAAATAATAATTACTGTATTATTTTATATTGCAGATTCTAACCGGTTACCTCCCTTGGTTTGCATATTGTGTTATAACAGATAATATTGATTGAGAAAAAACGTGACACGTGGCTTTATCTCTTCACTGGGTAAAAGGTGGGATATTTAGATTTATTTCAAATTTAAAACACATGACAGTCATGTACAAATATCTACCTGTGTTAAATATTTAATCATGAACGATGGGTGAATTGAAAGTGAATCGGTGAAATATGACGGTGAGGCTATATAAATTTGAACGGTACTATGGGACTCAAACTTTGCATTCCTATGCAGTGTAGCTAGCATATACTGATAAAGAGTTTCAAGCAAGAACAGGGTTGTGACCTAAATCATACAATGCTATACAATGGATACACTAGTCCAATGCGCTGTGTTGGTCTTGGAGAGACAGTTTTATCAAGCAATTTCTCTTTATTTAGCCATGGAGATTAGCTTTAGTTTTATACTATCTCCGCCTAACAGTTCTATAAGGAAGGTGATCTTAGTTACAGGGTAAACGAAAAACATCCCTAGGAATTAATCGGACACCATATCAATGTCAGTTTAACCCCGCAAACAAAAAAATCACGCGTCAAATTCTATTATAAATCACAGTTGTGAAGCTCTTATTGAAAACTGAAAGCGAGGGTTAGGTTTTAAATGAATAGCGATGAAATACCGCTTTAGCACAGTAGTATCGGTTGGCGGGCCCTCCTTCGCATTCATATCAGGTTATAGAACCTGGTAGATCAAATACGATGTAGAACGCTTCGTGCTTTGAAATATGCCCCCCTTCAAACAGTATTCACTGTCATGAAAACGTATGCACTTATACCTTGTATGTATGCTTTGCAATGTCACTGTGACCTCATATGAGGGTAAAGAAACGCATAATAGACAGAGTAAATGTCGGATAGCGGTACGACCTGTACACAGAAACCTGCCAGTCAATGATGTGTATAAGTAATGCGCTTTCATTATGTCGTCTGCTACACATGTATGCATTTAACATGGAAACCGCGCTACCTCGGTCGACATGCAATGTGGCTGTTATGTGTGCTCTTTTCGTTTGAGCATAGAGGTAGCTAGCTGTGCGACCTTCTGCACATTCGTGGCACTTGTGCTGAGGTATAGCGACGCTATACAAACACCCCTGTCATAACTATGGCGTAAAATGTCGTAGGACAAAAGTTGAGTGAAAAGTTTGATACACTCTGTAATGATCATGAGTCAGACGACATGATATGAAGGTGTGAGTCGAGCCCTCATGGGCTGTTGCCTTCAGCAGATGGGCTGTCAGAGATGCAGACGACATTTTCAAGTTGGCCTTTGTGTCGTCTGCTCGCGAGGAAAGGTCGGAGTTCGCGCCCTCTTGGACCCAAGGTCTGTCTAAATAGGCCCAAATAGGCCTTACAGGTTAAAAGATATACGACCTATGACCCAATACTATTTTTATCCATTTAGTTTTGAGACAGTGACTTAAAGCGATTTTCAAGTATTGTTCTCCAAAGGCTGGGATGCAGATGGTGACTTTACACCTTTTCAATCAAAATTGAAAGAGTCGATTTTAGACGTGATTGGATAACCGTGGACTTCACGACATCACGCTAGGCATGTAATAACAACGTCGCAATTCATCATACACATATTTCGGCAGGAATTACATTATATATTGCCACAGATTGTTGGCCGACTTACCGATTATGTTATTTTACAAATATATTTCTTGATCTGAACTTTATCTGTGACATATGCGATCAACATGTTCAAACTATCACGGAACGACATTATCTCAAATGACAACACATATGACGAGGCCTCACACCCTGCCTGTGATATGACTAGATCTAGTATTGATGTTTTGCTGCAGATGGTATTGATTATATAAAAACTCTTACCATCATAAATTCCATTAAAATTATTAATTGGCAAACCCGACCTTGAGAACGTGTCAAGTTACAATGCCATGACAGTACTCCAATACAATAACACATGAAAGTCCAACCTATTTCAATACCAAATTTTGACAATATAAACCTCGCTTATATCAGTGCCGATGTTTGGTGATTAAAAAACAAAACCATTATATTTAACAAATATAACTCGCATCTCGCCGTGGCTTATACCACAACGTTGTTCATTACGGTACGGCGGTCGATGAAAGTTTCCCCAGTACAGATAGTGACGAGTGGCTTTCAAGTACACGTCGAAAGCCTCTTTGGTCTTCTTTCTGCTATAGCCGACTTGTGTAACTAGATGTTATGGAGTATAGACTCTACTGTAGTTGAGATCACTCCAAACCATTGTAACTGATACAGACAAACCATGTGTTGCAATCAATGATCAAGTTTGATGCACATACACTTGGAACAGCCTCTTTTCTACTTCGACCGGCGCTGGTCTTTGTCTGTCAATATTATTGAGGTTGGAAATTGATTCTGGTGTGTGTGTATCACGTTTGGCGATATGGATAGTGATAATTCAGTGTATTTATTTCATAACAAAGTTGATTATCATTTACAGAAGTTTTAGTTTTAACCGAATATAAACATATCCTAGTTGTGTCAACCAGA